GACAGCTGTAACTGATGTTTATATCTCAATAAATGCCCTCACTTTGGCAATCTAGATTGATATATTTCTACACTTTAAACTTCTCATTGGTGAATATCAGTATAAGATATGATTTTGCATATGATTTATTGCCGAAAAGCTTGTAGAACTCCCCGAAAATGCCATTTTTAAACGGAAAAGTCTTTAATCTTAAGAAAAATATAATTTGAAACTGAAAGGAAAAAAGATTTTGAATGATTTGTGAAATAAATGATGCCTACAAAACTCTGACATTATCTTAATTACCGTCAGTTAATAAGTCAGGTCCGTCTGCAAATCGTAAAGAAGTACCGGTATATAATTTTTCGCGAATAATTTTGTTTAGTCGCAAATTATGACCAAAATCATTACGATTTGAGGGTAAAATAGGTAAACAATTTCATTTCTTATAGCTGTGTTATAGGTTTAGAATTTCTCCTGAATTTCTGCAAGACATACAGATGTTATATTAAGAATAATTATGTATACTAATATCTAAAATCCAATATAAATTCTATAGTGATATTAATACGATCTGACTTGTGAACATTAATTTATCTCTGATATTATAAATAAACACATACGAAAAATATTTTCAATGAAAGTATGTTAACTTCATATGTGAATCATATTGAAAATGTCATTTTAAATGATATTAGAAATAACATATCTTATAATATTGAAAACCAAAAATCGTGTTAAATGATATATAATATTGTAGATTAATATTAGATTGCAAATAAGAGAATAGAAGCATATTGAATAATACGTGTATATTCAATATACATGTAGTAAAAAATGTATGTTAAACAAGAAATACCGCTTAAGGCAATGAACGCTCCACTGTTGAATGTTCAACTTGTACATCATTTTGTCAACATTTGTTAAAGTACATCGGTCAATAAAAAAGAATGTATGAGCAAAATTGTAAAAGAAAAATCTATGAAACTACTTACTAAACCAAAAGTTAGAAAATTACCAATGATAATTATGTACCATCCAAATATGAAAAACATCAGATTATTAGAGGGTGGCATAAAAAAGCTATTTTTAGCACCGGTGACAATAACCTAAGTGACCACTTACTCCCTTTAAGATTACAGAACCACCCAAGGTAAATACTAACAAAACATGAAAAGTTGTAGTTAATTGAACGAAGGTGTATACGCATAGTGTAACATCTGATTTTAACACCGTTGAACCACCTTGACCAAAGTGACTTCTTCCTTGACCGAAAATTACAGGACGTCCGTTAGCTATGAACACTATGAAATATGAAAGACAAGGTTATAAAAGCAAATACGTAACAAGCATTATTTAGTATTATAAAGGGGAGATAATTCAAAGGAATGAAACATTGTGGCTCTTTGACATTGCATTTCCTTTTACTTGTTTCTACCACTTAAAAAAGTAATATTGTTTTTATCAAACACCTTCAATACTTTGCAGGCAAAACTCTGGACAGGTATTATGAAGTATTGTAAGTGAATAAAGAAAAGAAAGTAACATAGAGTCATGTTTCTCTAAAAACTTGTTTCTTAACAGACGAAGGGAGATAATTAGAAAACAATTAATAGAGTAAGGGAGATAATTAGAAAACACCATTAGAGTATGGGAGATAGTAAGAAAATAAAGCATGGTAGATTAATGGTTCTACATATTGCACTTTCTCACATTGATCGCTATCACTGTTTAAAGTTTTAATCAAATCCTTTAATACTGTTCAAGTCGTCGTTCCTCGGACAAGAGTATGACAGACAAACGGACGGACAGATATACGGACGGATGTACTGAAGAACGGGCAAGGTGGCAACTTTATACGTATATAATCTTTGCATACTAATATATAATAATATTTATATTACTATATTTTATCATTATGTTTTGAAAAACTCGTATTTAATAATATGTAAAATAAATAGTACAACAGTATCAAAGTTGTAAAACGTGTTATTATATCATTAACATGACAAGAACTGTCTTAAAACTTCATAAAATCCGTTTTAAAAAAATCTGCTAATTTAAAAGTTAAGGTCGCTAGACCACCGAATTAACAAAAATGATAATATTAAAAACTTTTCTGAAAGTGATCTTTTTGGTGTATTTATATTGAATTACTAGTTTGTATGGAAATCAAAATACCACTTTGTTTATATTTTGCTACCTTTACGACACATTACTGCACGTTCAGAATTATTTTCGTCAAATGTCAAACATAACATGTTCTAAATCCATTATTAAAACATTATAAAACACATGTTTGACATTTCTAGAAAATTAAAAAATATGTATTTCTGAGGATGAATGTGGGTCAAATATCATAAAATATATTTACTTTATTTGTATATTACATACATAAGCATGTAGTATTAAAGTGTCTGTGGTAATAAAATATGATTAAATATATTGTATATCAATAGTGCATAATGTAAATTAATTTATTATTGAATTATTATTATTGAATTGTTCGCTGTCAGAAAAAAATGAGTCGATTTGCCAACGTCTTTAAAAGTAAAATTAATAGACACGGAAAAATTGCTATATAATAATTTGAACTGAGATCTGTAAATGTATTCGTCTTTTATTTACCCGCGCGAACTCTTAGAATGATAAATATATTTTATTCAGCAGTTGTTTTTGGCGCTTGAAAAGGTGTGCGTAGAAAAAGAATGTAAGCAGACGATACCAGAATGTTAGCAGACGAAATCAATCGTGCCCTGACACGTGCTGGAGGATCTGCTATTCTCATTTTTCTGTCTCGTTGCGTATTTTATGAGACAATTTCTAGATTTTTCGGTTATTTATACTGACTGAAGTGGAAGGTGGCGACATTGATATATACCCGACAGAACCTCGGCACGAGCTTCAACCCGTAATATCACTCAATGTTCCGTCACGGTTGTCACGTGATGATGTCGTAAATGTCGTCTGCAACAATTTATGATATCTTTTAACGGTTCATTATTAAACCACTGAATTATTTTCATTTGTTTTTGCCAGATTTTTTTTACGTCTATCCTTCTGTAATGTGATTAACAAACCAAACAAATGCCTGTATATTTTTTTCTAAAAAGGAACCTACCACAAGATGTACATCAGTTTAGAATTATATATAGCATAACTCATCGAAATGGATTATTAAAATAGCTATTTATATAACATTAGAGCTACAGTCTGAACAATTTCAAAGTCAATGAATTTAATTATTTCGATCTTACATGCAAAACAAATAACACATATCCTCTATATATAAAAAATAAAATGTTAATACATTTCAATAACTTAAAAAAAGACAATACCGGCGTTCCATAAACAATACACCTACAGTCGATGATTCCAAAATAATCCAAATAACGAAGATTTATTGCATGTCGTATTATAATTCCTTGATAGACAAACCATTTGATTAAGTCCCGACTTCAATCAATCATTTAAACAAGTTAATTCTAGACTGTTGTCTCTCCAAACTTTTATTAAGAGAACAGAACGAGGAAAGGATGTTGTTATGTTTATGTCCGAACTTAGGTGGCTGGCAAGTCTAAGATGAATCTTCAGCCATGGAAATAGCAATTTTCTATCAATAACGGGACACCATATTCTTACTACGCAAATAATACCCAATCTCCAAGTTTGTCAAGTTATAAATATGCCTATACTTGCCCGTTCAAACTGTACGCAATAACGTCAATCAATAAATAAATCATGGGTTCGAGCCCTCATGTTACTCCATTTGACACCAGTACTGGTTGGTTCCAGGAAGCGGTCTTTAAAGTGATTAATATAAGTTGCAAGAACTTGTTTCTCACTCGAGCTTAAATAAATATGTTTAAACCAATAAATAAATAAATAAATAAATAAATAAATAAATAAAACAAAGTAAAATAAAGCGACAAAAACTTTCAAGAGAGACGGACATGCCAAATAAAAAAAATCGCTAAAAACAATTTTTCAGTTTCCCTTTTCATCCAATAATTATGTACATTTTTATTGCGACCACCTTTCAATATTACCCAATTAGACAGGTCTTTGATGTTAAACCGCCTTTGTGAAATAAATAATCTGTTCATATAGGAATATCAATAATTTCAATAAAGAATAATTAAAAAAAAAATTCTCATGCATGTACAGTAAATTAAGGTTTGTTTCTTAAAAAAAAACGGTGAACTTTTAAATGCAAAGCCTATGTTATCTACACGGATTTTAATCAAAGAGCATCATAGTTCCTTCACGATTATGTTTAAGTGTTTCTAATTATTTTTATAACTCCAATATCCGATGAGTCAGCAAAAAGAAATTTTACGAAATAAGTAAACAAACATACAGGTCCTGATGCATATCGGAATTTGTTATATAGATACTCACTGTGCTCAGATAATGTTCGAGCTTCATTGTCTCATGTTTCAAACGATTTGGCACGTAATTCTCGTGCGTAATTGACTGCACATTATGCATTCCATTCCCCAGATTAAATCTATGAATGAAAAAATTGATCATACATAAAGTAAATTATTTGAATGTTGAAACCGTTAATGTTTATTCTAAGGTTTAATAGGTCAATAATTCAAATATTAAGTTTCTATCAGTTGGCATTTCTCGGTCGGTGCCCCAGTGGATGTGCTGGGGCTGCTCTCCCTGCACGTTGATATCTTATGTCTTACTCGAATTAAAATGGCAATATCAAAGACAGCTAATAATTACTGTTATATCATGCTATTTTTTCAACAGTTTTGATATCAAAAATGTGAGATATCAAAAATGAAAATATTGCGAGTCGCCTTGCATGAGCCAACAACTTTTCCATAGAAGCGTTGAAGAAAGATATAGATATAACGTACAATATGTCTTTGAACTATTTTGTAGAGATTTGAAAGATAAGCTTCCTTTACACTTTAGTTTTAACATATTGTTATGAAAGGATTGTCTATATTAGGTCACTTAGGTCATTTAGTATCACGTTACAACATTCTTCTTACTATTTACAGGCAGTAGAAGACAGCATGCAGGTCGTCTGCAAATGTCATGGCGTTTCCGGTTCATGTGAACTTAAAACATGCTGGCGTTCCATGTCAACATTTCGTCAGATCGGCGCCATTTTGAAAGAAAGTTTTGATGGCGCAACAGAAGTGAAACTTGAGCATAAAAAGAATCGAGCAGTTTTAGTTCCAGTGAATGACCAGTTTAAACCGCCTACGCGGTCAGATATTGTGTATTTAGTGGCATCGCCAGACTTCTGCGAACCTGATCCAAAAACTGGGTCACTTGGAACAGGCGGAAGGGTATGCAATAAGACTTCTAAAGCTATAGATGGGTGTGACTTATTGTGCTGTGGGCGTGGCTATGAAACAAGAACGATAACAATTGTGGAACGGTGTCAGTGTAAATTTTACTGGTGTTGTTATGTAAGTTGCGAAAAATGTACAAGAACTGTAGACGAGCATGTCTGCAAGTGAAACATTAGTACTTGATAAAACGTTAATTATGTGTTCCAAAAAAAAGGCCCGTAAATACATTCTTAGTAATTAATGTTTAAAAATTTTCCTTATGGATCTTGTTCATCATGTTTTAAAGGATTACTTGTATTATACATGCATTCAAAAAGTGAAAGGATGAACAGCAGTTTAATCCGTGAACTGACAAAACCTGCAAACAGACAGACAGACTGACATAATAAAACATTTCATCATGGAAAAGTCAACTATGGAAGCAGTGAATTACCTTTAGGTCTAAAAAGGTAAAACTTGTTACTTGTTATGAAATTTCATGTATCTGAATTAAAATATACATGTATATTAAGATGTAGTTAAATCAATATAACATGTATCTGAAAAAGGAAACTTTGTGTGTTTATGAATATATTATAAAACGTTAGCAATATATCATGTGATTTGGAACGCAACATGCGCAAAGTTCCCTGTCGTTTGCTTTTGAAAAAAAGGATTTTTATTTGCAGAAGGAATATTTTAAGTGAAAAGTTACATTAGGAAAAATGGTATTATTATATCATATTGGGAAAGACGTTGGATTGTAATTTGCAATTATGGAAATTTAAGCACAATTGGATGTGATTTAATATTTTGGATGAATTTATGGTGTCGTCATCTGTAAGGGTGTATTGTAGAGCTATATAGTGACATTGTATTTATCCGTCATTAAGAGAGCAAACTTTATTTACATAAAATTGTATGGACGTTATGATAATTGAGATGGCATTATGCTCTACTTTTTTCAAATTTTGTAAATGACTATACTTAATCATTATAACAAATTTGTTTACTTTGTTACTTCGTTGTAACCTCGTTTGGCATTATTTTAGAATAGTCATTTGAGAACTAGATTTTATGCACATTTTAAGCATTTGCCAAATTTTCTTGCCAATCGAATCTGTATAGAAATATTTGCAGTTCTTAACCAAAAAGTCGAATACAATTATCGTGGAACCAAATTTAAATGAAATTAAAATTGGAAATATCAATTAGATCTATGATTTAATTTTAAATTTACATGAAGCATTCTAATCTAAAATAACATTTTTATCTGGCATCCCAATTTTCCCAAAGTATATCTCTAAGCCATTTCGTCATTTTGAAAAATGATTTTGACGCGCCATATGACGTAACATATGACGTCACTTAACGTTATTCCTCTGAATGCAGTAATTATATTTTCATTGAGCATGCGCCATATACGAAGGACCGTTATGTTGGAAATGATAAAATGTGACTTAAAATTTCCTTTATTTCACCGTTTATGTACAACGGACAAAAATACCCTTTTACAGCAATCATCATGACAAAATGGTGGAGCGCGACTCTGACTGGACGAAAAGTATATTGAAGATAATACCGTCATTTTTATATGATTAACAAAACATTATTTATATTGTATATGTTCTTTTTTTTAGACATCAATATTTGTAATAAGCTGTTTACATTTGAAAACGACGCCAGTAAAGCTTCAGTCACACTACACCGCATAGCGTTAACGGACGCCAAACGCAAAGAAAAATGCGGCTGAAAGTTATCCGGTGATGAAAAGCATTTCCCGCTGCTGCTCGGTGCTCTCATGATCGCTGTACGGGGCGCATAAAACGTACAAAACGCACAATGACCGAACGATCAACGCACATATACCGGATGAACGACGTACAGTTAACGGACTTCACCGTACTAGTAACGGATTTGTACCGCACAAAACGTACACGCAGCGCATGAAGAACTGACAAAACGTTCTTTGAACGTTCGACGAGCGTATTTCTACCGGTCACGTGACGGACAAAACTGGTATAAATAGTCCGATTTTTTTTTTCGTTTCGTCATAATAGTTTCCACGCTCTCAAAGATCACAAACGTGCTCCAAAATGCCAAAAGCCAAGGCTACCAATGCTGGGAAGGGTAACAGGGGACGGAGGAATACCAAGTTCCCCGTCCTCAGTTGCAGCTTTAAGGTCGGACTCGTTCACAACTGAGCATCAGATGCAGCACCGCGGCCTCCGATAACGGCCAAAATGAACTTGTAGTCGTAGTCAACGAGGGCCAGCAGGACAATGGAGTAGTACTTCTTCTAGTTGAAATATGTGGACCCGGAACTAGGTGGACAATTACAGGCAATATGCTTGCCATCCAACGCACCCAAAGTGTGAGGAAAGTTCCATTTTTTTTCAAGAAGCCATCTGAAATGCGTTTCCAGTCAGCAGCTGTTGTTGACAAAGGCATGACCTCGTCCACATACTCGTCTATCATTGCTCTGCACACCTGAAAATGTAAATAAAAATGCGATTTTAAAAGTAGAAATAATCATGTAAGCAAATTATTGATATTTTAAAAGACCAGAAATTATATACATGTAATTGTTCGAGTTATCATTGAGAATCATGGGAAAATAAAAATATTTACTTCTCGCAAGATGACAGAGATGGTGTTGTGAGGTATCCTCCAGGCAAACCGCATTTTAGAATACTTTGACCCTGACGCAAGCTGTCTGAGTGTAACGGCTAACTTCATTCCTGGGTCAAGAGGGGTTCTGTATGAGGTATATTGTTTTGTTATTCTGGGACCCACTCGTTCCAGAATCTCATCAAACATCTCAGGAGGCATCCTCGTGAAGTTCGTAAATGACCGCCGGTCTTCTCTCCGCAGCTTCATCATGAGTTGATCGTAGAGACCAAACATTCGACGTCTCTCAGGACCCAGCCAAGCCTTTGACCACCACCTCCGCAGTCGCCTCCTTTTTCTTCTATTTTCATAAGCGACAATATCTACATTCACATCCAACAGGTCAATACTTGCCTGGATCACGGCCGCTTGATACTGCAGGTGGGCTCTAACGCGACACTCCATGATATGTGGATCATTAACTCAAACTATCAAAGTTTCAGAAGGTCCTTACACTTGAAATGCAGGAAAATATATGACAGTTATAACCAGGGAAATCTCGTTTTATTCATCATCAGTTTTGTGCGGTGGACCATCGATTCATGTCTGTTATTTATCAGTTCTTATACGTCCCTTGTTCGTTATCGTCCGTTTAACATACGTTACATCCGCTGCATGTCCGTTAGTAGTCCGGCCGTGAATCAGGTCCACCGGATAAGAACGGACTCGAACCGGACAAGTACAGAATAAGGAACGTACGAGTAACGAACAAAACGCATACCAGCGCATGGTTACCGTACATCTGACGGACAACTTTATCCGGTGGTGTACGTTCCAAATTTTGAACATGTTCAAAACTTTCCACCGAACGGAACGAACACCGCCGGACACCGCCGGACAAGAAACGCAAACGCCGCATGATCAACGGAAAAGAAACGCATGCGAACGGACATGGACGGATTGAAAATTTTGTTATGCGTTGGACGTCCGTTACTGCTATACGGTGTAGTGTGACTGAAGCATAAGGTGTACGTCATTACATATAATATATTTTTAGACGTCATAAAATTGACGTCATTGATGAAACTTAAGCACGCTCTTCTTCCAAAATATTATTAGATACTCCTAAAAGTATTTAGAGGATATTTAATAAGTTTAAGTTCAAAATTGAATTTATTGAACGAGTTGTATGAAATTATATGAAGTGAGCCTTTGGCGAGCATGATATTATTTCATTGAACGAGTTCAATAAATACAGTGATGGACCTGCACGAATATGATTCTTTTTATCACATACCAAAAATAAAGACTGTTTAAAGTGAAAAAGAATCATTTTTCATTGACGCGCCTCTAGTGTAACACTAACATTTAGCGCGTCTTTACACTATGTTTGTGTAACGCAAATGACGTCACGTCAAAGTATATGCACGGCCGTGCAATACCATTTTTACGGAGTCGCGAAAGCGGCACGGGTATGTGATTACTAAAATATTGTACAACCAGCCGGCGTTATTTTCTCTAGAAACATTTCAATTTCATATTATAAACTTTAACATTTAGCATAATGCAACATATATGAGTTATTGTTGTTTATAATTGACTAAATTTGTATAACGATGTACATGGTTACCACATTTAACAGTTACATGCTTTGTTTGTATATTTTTAGGAATTGAGACATATTTTTAGAATAAAACGTTGATATAAATATTTCATATTTATTAATAATTTGCCCATCATTCCATCTGAAGTCGTGAGGAATTGTAATCATAGATTGAAAAAATCCTCTTCTAAATGAATTTTATAGACCAGCAGATAAATTTATATATCGGAACGATATCGGATTTTCAGCACTTTTTCTTGGTAGTTATCGGACACTCAGATTGCACCAAATATGCGATATGTTTTTATTGTATCGGCCCAATATTCAAACCGTATAATGCGATATCTTTTCATTGTAATAGAATTATGTTTATATTTTAACTGTTCGGTTCTGTGTCAGTTAATCAACATTTGTTACAAGTAATCGTATTGATCCGATATTCAAATTATTTCAGATAATTGGTGCCCGTTATCGTATTGAACCGATATTGAAACTGTTTCCGATTATTGGTGCCGTTAACTATATTGATCCGATATTTGAATTGTTTACGATCGTTGGTACCGTTTATCGCAATGACCCGGTATTTTAATCGTTCCAATTCGTTTGCGCGGTTTATCGTATTCATCCGATATTCTTTTGTCCAGATCGGTGGTGCCGTTATAATAAACGTATCGAGCGATATTTAAACTGTTTTAGAGCATTGTTGCCATTGTGAATCGCATTGGCTTGAATTTATCATTATTGGACCTATATTTAAACTGCATCGGATTAGCGATATCGTTAATCGTATCGGTCCGATATTCTTACGGTATCAGGAAATGACGACTAATATTCGATATTGCAAGAGTATCAAACGTATGTAATTTATAACTACGCTCACCATGACATTTTTTTTGCATTAAATACCTGATTTCAAATTAATACAGACAATGCTATGTTTCAATGTTATTTTATTTGTCTATATCGTTTTTCATTACTTGTTTAACATCGGCACATATCTATCGATACAATATTCTATTCAAACTTTTAACATCCTCGGTTGTTTGCAATGCAATTTTAGACTAAACGCCGGTCATGAAATCTTAATAAATTTGTATGAATAGTTTGTCTCGTCTTTTGAAACCATGAACTAAGTTATGATGTATAAAATGTTTTTTCTTGAAAATGTATTAGATATTTTTAATTATTTATGCAAAATTATTAAATGAATTTGAAATCTATATTGCTGGGGTTATTATTATTTTATTACTGTTATACAGCTGACGATTTCAAACAATAGACATCAAAGTGCAGCAGATGCAAGTGTAGTTCGTGTCAAGTGTTGTTCGAGTTAAGTGCCATTCGAGTCAAGTTGTTTTCGAGTTTTTTTTGTTTTGTTTGTTTGTTTTGTTTTGTTGTTTGATTGGGTTTTACAGTATAGGTCATATGGCGACTTTCCAGCTTTAAGACCTCAGGTGCCCGTCTGTTCATTATTTCAGGCGCAAACGTGAACCTGAGTAGAACCACCAACGTTCCGTAAGCTAGCTGGATAGCTTTCTCACGTGTAGATTTCGACGACGCTTGCACGGCTGTAACCTACAGTGGTGAGAGGCAAGATGTTTGAAATCAACGACCTTAACCACTCACCAAAAGAGCATTGTAAAACGACTTTGTGAATATTTCAATATTTCCTTTGCTGTTTCACAAAATGATAAAGAAAAGTTAGTGAATATAACAATTTTCATGTGTACTATATACTATATAGATAAACAAATCAACCTCTAGTTTATTCATTTAAAATGAAACCATTTACGCTTCAGATACTTACGTACTGGTATTTCCGTTTCCTTCCCTTCCCTTCTCTTCTGTCCTCCCTTCCCTTCCATTCTGTCTTCCCTTCCCTTCTGCCTTCCCTTTCATTCTCTTCTGTCTTCACTTCCCTTCTGTCTTCCCTCTTTTCTCTTCTGTCTTCACTTCCCTTCTGTCTTCCCTTCCCTTCTGTCTTTTTTCTTTCTTTCTTTCTTTCTTTCTTTCTTTCTTGATACAGTAATTATCATGAAAATATTTTATTAAAGATAAATTCAAACTGCAAAATCATCGAATTGAAATGACCAAAAAAAGATGAAACTGTTTTGAGGTTTATCATAAAAACAGTTTTAAATCTTATCATCTTTGTTACAATTCGAAAGTGAAAATATGCCATAAATGTGACATTTAAACTACAATCAAATACGAAATCAGAATTTATACTATTCCCTATTCAGATTTATTTCATTTATTAAATTTTTTTCGACACCAATGGGCAATTTTGTAATTCACATTTTCATGGTACATTAAGTGATGTGACAGCCCGTTAAATGAACGAGAAAAAAGAAAATCAAAACGATTTTCGAATAAAGTGAAATTAGTTTCAGAGATTGAGATGTTGATCCCGAGCGAGTCGCCGTTAATTAGGCGTTTAAAATCAGTAAGAGCGTAAAGAAGACAGAACGCTCACTCTCGGACAAGTCTACATTCGGCATACCTCTGAATAGACCGAACACGTTACAACTGTTCCGAATGGATAAATGTAAACGAAGCGTTGCAGGAGAAGAATATGATTTTGCTCTTAAAATCTCGGAATATGATAAGAAATATTCATAAAACACATTTTCAAGACAGCTGTTTGCACCTGGTTATGATTACAAAGTACAAGACAGAAAAAGGCCAGGCGCGACCAAAATCTGATATTGAAGGAACACCAGTGGCGACAGGTAAAGTGCAACTGTATTTGAGCCGTGTCATGACAAAACCAACATAATGGGTTTGCAACCAGCATGGATCCAGACAAGCCTGCGCATTCGCACAGTCTGATCAGGATCCATGCTGTTTGCTTACAGACCCTTTAACAAGTAAAGAAACTGCTAGCGAACAGCATGGATCCTGATCAGACTGCGCGGATGCGCAGGCTGGTCTGGATCCATGCTGGTCGCAAACGCATTACGTTGGTTTTGTCATGACACGGCTTGTTTATCACCTATACTAAACTACAAACAACTAGGCCTTAACGGTCTAAATTACAGCCTATGAGCTGGATTAGAAAATGATGATGAAATTGTGTTACATATTTATTGTAATGAAACGCGCTTTTTATTACTTGGGGACCATACGCCGCTTTTCATGGAATGGCACGGAAGTGTCACATTGAAGGTTCCATGATAACCGCCGTATGAACACATCTGCGGATGTTTCTAAATTCAAAATTTTACTATTTCACGTTTAAATGTTGAATTCTGCTTAAGCCGGTGCTAGGGGGCGTGGACGGTAATTTGCACTTTCCAGTACCGTCCATGAACAGGCTCAATCAAACCGAGCCTGCAACATTTTCAATTTTGCCGTGTTGGGCTTTCTTTAGGGGTTCTGTATTTATCTATTATTTGCACATATCATGTTAATTTTGTGAATACAAATGATTTTGAACATTTTCATATAGATAATACAATTTTCTCTATTTATTTATATTTGGTTGGGTTTTAAAATTTTGGAAACAAAGTGATCCCTCGGAAGCATTAAACACAACAAAATTACAAGAGAATTGCAGACTCGGTTTGATTTAGCCTGTACATGAGGGATAATGAATACGTGCAACATCCTTCATGCCCCCTAGCACCGGCTTGAGCGGTGCTCAATTATCAACACTCAATAGTGATAGCATCAATGATCCCGAAGGACCAGAAAAATATAACAACACTGAAGTGAAGTACGGGGCAACTTTTTACAGCTGTCACACAGCACTTGACACCTGATGTTGTGAAGTATAAAAATCTGGAAACAAAGTGATCCCTCGGAAGCATTAAACACAACAAAATTACAAGAAAATTGCAGACTCGGTTTGATTGAGTCTGTACATGAGGGATAATGAATACATGCAACATCCCTCACGCCCCATAGCACCGGCTTGAGCGGTACTCAATTCTCAACACTCAATAGTGCTGGCATCAATGATCCCGAAGGACCAGAAAAATATAAAAACACTGAAGTGAAGTACGGGGCAACTTTTTACAGCTGCCACACAACACTTGACACCTGTTGTTGTGAAGTATAAAAATCTGGAAACAAAGTGATCCCTCGACTAACAGAATAGAGGTCACCTCGAACCGTCTTTTCAGGTAGAATAAACAATTTTTGAAACAAACAAGTGCCATATTTTTTTAAGACTTTTAGATGAATAATATATAGCTGACAAACATAGTTAACAATTTAGTCGAAAGTATTCTTTTCAGATTTTGCATGTCCGGTATACACGTCAATATTGGATTGCATAAGCAACATGAATCAGAAACGGCAAATAAAACAACTTAAAAAAGATGAAAAATACTGTTACCTAGCATTTAGCTGTGGACGACTAAAGTTTTCCTGAGTGTTTTATCGAAACACGTGTCGCTCTCCTGAGTGCTTTATC